GGGAGTCCAGAGACATAGCCATTACGCCATCTGCTGGCCTCTCTCTCTCTGGATTTAAAAAAAAAAATAAAGACAGTCTCTCCTGTCAAGAGCTTTCTCTGTGAGTCTCCTAACTGGGACGGCCACTGCACCCAGCTCTTTAAGAATCATTTTAGGGGCCAGCAGGTGGCATGGTGGTTAAGGGTGCACATGGCCAACCGCAGTTCGAGTCCTGGACCCAGCGGCTTGTTTTCTCACTTTACCTCTTTGTCACACTCTGTCCCTCTCTGGTCAAATTAAAATAAAGTTAAATAAAAAATAATTCTAAAAAAGTATTTAATTTTATTTTTAATTTGATGAGAAAGAAAGAGAAAGCTGCCAGGCCCAGGACTCAGACCGCCGTCAGTAAGGTGGGAGTCCACTGCCTTCACCCCCACCACGCCACCTGCCGGCCCTTGTACCCAGCTCTCTCAGACAGTTTCGTTGTTGCCCAGGCCAGCTGCAAGCTCGCCAGCCTCCTGCCGCAGCCTTGCAAGTCATCAGACTGGAAGTGAGACCTGAGCCTCCATAGGCCCCTGCGGCGGGGTCGTTTATGTCTCCGCATTTACCCACCCGTTCTCTTCGTCCTCAGCCTGCCACAAACTGAGCTACAGCTTTTTCTGGGTTTTGGAGCAGCGTGGTAGTCTGCTTGTTTGCCATAGGGGGTGTGAAGAGAGGGAAAGTGAGAGATTGCACACCCCGGCCCCACAGAGTGCAGGCCATACAAGCCCTCACCATTCTCCTCTCAGCATTTTGGGCACACATGCATATGTGCCGGGAGTGATTTTTGCTTTAGGGTGCATGCACTCGCCAGAGAGACAGAGACAGAGGGAAAGTAAGAAATCACCCGCCCCTAGGAAACCAGCAGTTAGCGTAATGGCTATGTCGCTGGACTCTCACGTAGTCCACCGCCGGTCTATGTCTCTCTGTAGTCGACCGCGGTTCTATGTCTCTCTGTAATCACCCACCCCCACCCGAGTGATGGCCACGCCACAGTCCCTTCTCCATTCTTCTCCTGAGGTCTTGGGCATGCATGCCCACATGCCGGATGTGATTTTGAAGCCGCCAGGTCTGGGGCTCAAATTGTGGCGGGTCATGTGGGCGTCCAGCCACATAACCGCTACGCTGCCTTGGTCCCCAGGTCCAGTACTTAAATAGCAAAGTTAGCCATGGGGGGCCAGCTGCCTTCACACCACCACCAAGTGGCCTAGGGGCTGTTTTATAAAAAGCCTGATTTATCCTGTTTTGTTCAAGAAGTGCCTCCAGGAAAAGCAGAATAACCACAGCCTTTACCTGAGCACCCGGGAAGGTGGGCCACCCTCCTGCTGATGCACTGGCGAGCGGTAGTTTCCAGACCAAATGCCGACCACACTGGCAATCAGCAGCGGAGATATTTATTCATTTAAATTTTTGTCATACGGCACGTGCATTTGCCAGAGAGACAGAAAGGGGAAAGTCACGCCCCAGCGGTACGGTCACACCATAATCTCTTCTGCATTCTCCTTTTGGATTTGGGGCACACGTGCATACCAGCGTGTTTTTCTTTTTTGGAGAGGTTTTTGCTATAGGGCGCATGTGCTCACCAGAAAGACAGAGAGAGAGAGATAGAAAGTGAGAAATCACCCCCCAGGAAGGATGGCCATGCCGCAATCCCTTCTCCTCCATTCTCCTCTTGGGATCTTAGGCACGCACGCACATGTGCCTGGTGTGAGTTTAAGCTGCCAGGTCTGGGACTTGAACCACGGTTGACTACATGGGAGTCCATTGATTTGACTAACTGCTGGTCCTTTTTTTTTTTTAATAATTATTTTATTTGACTTTTTATTTTATGTACATATGTATGTATGTATGTATTTTTTAATTTGACCAGAGAGGGACACAGAGAGAGAGGGACTGTGAGAAAGCCAGCCGCCAAGTCTGGGACTCAAACTGCGGTCGGTCGTGTTGGAGTCCAGCACCCTTAACCACCATGTCATTTGCTGGCCCCCACCAGCATGTTTTTCAAGCCCCAGGCCCAGGACTCGAAACACACATTTGGCCATGCGAGATCCAGTGCCTTCACCTCCGCGCCACCTGCTGGCCCAGGATGATTTTTTCGTTTTGCCAGAGGGCATGTGTGGTTGCCAGAGAGGAAAAGTGAGAAGTCACCCCCCAGGACGAACGGCCGCGCCACATCCACCCTTCATTTTCCTCTCACGACTTTAGGCATGCGCACACACACAATGTGTTCAGGCTGCAGGTCAGGGTCTCAAATTGTGCGTCGCCAATTTGATCCAGTCCCTTACCCACCAGACCACCTTCTGGCCCAAGCAGTGGGGATTTTGAGTGGACGAATGAACACACGAAAGGCCTTTAAAGGTCTGCTCCGGAGCACTTTACTAGGCTCTGGAGCTGCTCAGCCCCTGGGAATGCGCACTCTCCTCCCTGGGCTGGCTTGAAGAGCCGGGAAGCAGTGCATGAGCCATCTCGGGGTCTGCAGGGAATGCCCTCAGAGACAGGTACTTAATGGAGTTGTGCTGCCAGCTACTCCACAGACGCTTGGCGATGGCGCTCTGAGCACGCGATGCCCTGCAGAGGGGACGCTGCGTCCTGACCCCTCCCTCCTTCCTGCTTTGTTTTGCTATTGTGAAACCCAAGACTGGGGTAGCTCAATGAGGTGGTAAGAAAGAACGCAGAGCCAGAGGGCTGTGTGTGTCCCCGGGCAGGCCACGTGTGGCATGGCCACTGAGATACTGCTGTGTGGAGGGAGCGAGGGAGGACTGGCATGTAAGCTCCACCTCCGTAAGCGCTGTAAATCCAGGCGACAGAGATGACAGCTCACTCTCAGAAGCCTGCTGCTCACGTGTGATGTAGGGATGGCGGCAAGGCTGTCTCAGGGCTGGCCTATGATTAAATGTAGTCAACAATGCAAAAGGGCTTGTCTGAAAAGTACCGCAACTCACTGTGGTACTCTTGCTTTGAGTCAGACAGGCTGGGTGTGTCACTCTACATGTCACTATGGAGGACCCTTCCCTGGGGCCAGGCTTGGTCATGGGAGTTGGCCAGCTGAACAGGAAT